TACTCTACCATGCATACTGGATGTTCCAGACAGACATTTCTGTCATTACAATACTTTTATAATTCACATGTCAAATATGCAAATTCCTTGTTATGTTGGCATAGAATCATTGTGGAGAATGTATGGCTACTATTTCTGTATTTATTAATCCATTGATTGAACATTTCATTTTTTAAATCCATTCTTCCTACTTTAAAGTTCATGGTAACTTCTTTACCCATTTTACCCTTTTTATTTTTTGCAAGAAAGCAGGATGAGAAAAGCTAAAAAAAAAAAAATCATAAAAAAATCAGAAGTAAGAAGAAATGTAATTAAAACTGAAAACAAAAGAGATGAACAATGTAGGCATATTTTCTCTCTCTCACACACACACATATATTTTAAAACATCTATATTCACTTTTTATATTCAGAACAAATTCAGTTTGTACAGACAAAGAATATAAGCTGAGAACTCTTAATGCAGCTACAAACACAATCAGATTTCAGTAAATGTATAATTTGCTGTATGATTTTCCAAAACTCTTTCTTATTAAGTTTTCAGGCACAGCATTTTCTCACACTGTCAAATATAACCGATCTAATGAAATACTTCAGTTTTCCAGCAACTAAACAGTTACCACCATTTCTTAGTTTACATAATTTTATGTAAACTAAAAAGTATTCATTATGAAAAGTTGCTGGGACATTTTCTCAAAGTCTCCTTTTCAGCCAAAGGAAATTTCAGTAATTTCAACCAGGAGAGATTAATTGAGTATTACCATTTGTAATAGTAATGCATAAAGAATTTTTTTCATCTTTATTAACACCATCTAGAAAAGTATAAATTTAATAATATGTATTTTCACCTTTCAGTTTTTTTCATGTTTAATCCTGATTGTCTACAACAGGAAATTTAAAGGAAATTCTGGGCTGTAAAGAGATTCAATGAGATTCATCATATTCAAATTCCAGCATTTAAGAGAACCACAATGCTTAATATGAGTTTTAGGTAACACTCCTGGGATCATCTATTAAAAGAAGTGGATATATAATATTTTTCAAATAATAGTCTTAACATTTTTATCCACATAACAATCTTGTGATGTAGTGACTGGCTTTTCTCCAACTTTGTGGTTGGAGATTTGTACACATTTCTCTTTTTTTTTCTTCTAGCCTGGCACTTTAATTTCCACATTATATTGGTTTTATATAATGTGGAACCTTTACATATTGTATTATATCCCACAGTTTCTCAAAGGTCTTTGTGGAACTTTGGAATCACTTTCCAACCTATCTGTTTTATGACATCAGAAGATCTGGGGGCTGAGCTGATTTATTACTAGTTTTACAGCATTTATTTGTAGCAAATCTGTAGCAAATCTTCACACAGTCTATTCCTAATTTGATGGGAAGTCTCACTTCATACTGCCTCTCACCATGGCCAACTTGCCACAGCCCACTCACTACAGCTAATTTACCACAGAACAATTCGCCACAGCCAACTCACCCCGGGACAAGTTACATAATATTTAAGAAATGGTGGAATAGAATCATTTAAGAAAGGATGTAAAGGACAAAATGAAATGTAAGTGACAAAGATTAAAACAATTTTTAAATTATTTTAAATAATTAAATAAAATTGTTGAATTGTCCTGTATTAAGTTGCCTCACAATGAGTTGGCCATGATGAGCTGGCCCTAATGAGTTGACCATGGTGAGTTGGTAGTTGCAGCAAGTTGGCCATGGGGAATCGTCTCATTCCACTCTTGATTCTCCTTGTAACTGTTTACATTTTAAGTCTGGAATCCATGAAGGTGATGGGACTAGGGAATGGAAAATGCAAAAGACAGAAAGATCCAATCCCCCCCCCTGCTTTTCATATTCATTTTATCTTCAAAAGCTTGCTGAATTATAGCAATTGTCCCAGGATTGTTGAATATTCACAGTTCTGGATGGGAATTTCAATCATGCTATCCCACAATTTAACCACTATATATTTAAGTTGCAGTGATGCCATTAAGTCAGTCTCTGTTTGGCCTAAAATGCTTATGACTAATTTTCTTATAATTGTACTTTATGTGTTTTATATTAACATATTCTAACTACTTTATCAATAATATTAATATCCCAACAGGTTTTTTGGCTTTTGTATTTCTCTGATACACCGAATGTCTATTTTCAGTATGAAAATTTTTCAGGCTGGCCTTTGAAATTTTTAATAAGAAAAATGGTTTGGTAAGAAGGCAAAACTGCATTCATTTTCCTAAAAGAAAACTTAGTTATACAGTTAATCATTTGAACAAAATTCTATGCACAGTCATTATTAATGCATATCTATTAGAAATATTTTGCCATTAAGAGCTGTGGGCATTTGCCCAGGGAGAAGGAAATGAAACATGAACCAGTTTGGTCTAGTGGTTAAGGCACCAGGCTAGAAAGCGAGAGGCTGTAAATTCAAGTCCTTCCTTAGCAATGAAAGCCGAGTGATCTTGGACCAATCATTCTTTCTCAGCTCAATCCATCTCACAGGATAGTTGTGGGAAAAATAGGAGAGGTAGTGTGTTGGCTATGTTTGCCCCTTGAGTTATCTGTAAAAATAATAAAAATGAAATACAAATAAAGAGCATCATGATATAAATGCCATCCTTTTCATTCTTATGTGCATACAAGTATTAATAAATTAATAAAGCTTCTGCTGTAATTTGCAATATACATTTAATCATCCTGGCATTATTGTGTTTAGGAACACATGCATATAATAAGGGTAGGCCTCTGGTTAGCGGAAGCTTGCAAGAAATCTTAAGTATTAATGTTATTATATTATTATGGTATCTTGTTATATTATTAATACGATGGAGATGAATTATCACAACAAAGATGTGTAATATGACTATCTAAACATAACTGTACCCAGAATACACACTGTTTGATGAAAATTGAATGTTACATAAATAAAACAAAACATTAAAAAAAAACAAATCGTAAAACTGTGGTATGAATTTATTTATTGCGTTAATCAAGCACAAAATTCTGACCCCATAGGAGCTATGATGGCCCTTTCAGAAGGGAATAGCAACATTATCATAATACTAACTGGATATAACTATTGATGTCTCAGTTAAGTATGTGGTATGATCACATATATAGTTTTGGCATGGTGTTTGATCCAATATTTATGCACTATAAATGAAAAATACTACATATTTACAAAAATATCTATAATATTATATATTGTATATGGAAAATATCTATGTAGTGGTGTTTCACAGAAACTAAACTAAGATTCTGCCTATAAGTGAAGAATCTATATGCCAAATATCTGTGACCTGTTTAAACATCTCTCTCAAATGCGAGGCGAGTTCAGCTGATGAAATAAAGTGCCAGGGTATATCAGTGGTGGGATTCAAATAATTTAACAACCGGTTCTCTGCCCTAATGATTTCTTCCAATAACCAGTTCACCAAACTGCTCAGAAAGTTAACAACCGGTTCTCCCGAAGTGGTGCGAACCGGCTGAATCCCACCACTGGGGTATATACTGTAGTTGTCACTGGTGTTTCATAAAGAAAATTTCTTCCACATTATTGACAATACTTGTTCAACTTCTTGTGTCTGTTTTTCAAAGGGCAGCTGTGACAAAAAGAAACTTGTATAGCAGATTCTATTCTAAACATTCTATTACGTGACCCTTCGTGAGAAATGAATTTTCAGAATGAATTTGCTTTGTCAGTTGATACATTTCTATTGAAGCAACTTTACTTTGCCAAGATTTTTTGGCAGGTATAAAACTAGCTGGAATGTAGCTAATTATATATTCTGTCCCTCTGTAATAGAAGGTGGACTGAACAACTATGCAGGAAGATAAGAAAGTAGTGGGAAGCAATGTTTTGGTGTAATGTATTAGGCAATATTTCCAAGAGAATGTATTCAGTCAGACCAATATTATTTTTCTGTATGAATGTAGTTTTTTCAAATATATTAGCTTTCTTATATATAGCAGAAAGCAAGGTTATCATAAAATTATGCATCTGATACAGAGTCACCCATTTATGTAAAGTTATATGCTAAATGGCATATTGTCAATTTTAAATAAGCATAAATATTCAGAAACATGTATGAATTCATTTATTTTTCCCAGCCAATAGGTAGATCAGTAATGGTTTGCATTCATTAAATAAATAAAAATTCTTTGACAAAAGGGCTTGACAGTTCCCAGCAATCTTACTAAGACATATTTTAATATAGTAACACATTAAATTGGTCTTCAGTAAAGAGTATTTGGGCATCTTATAATCCAATAAGCAGTATTTGCTTGTACACACATATGCCCCTTCTTTAAACCAGTCAGTGAATTTCGGTAACAAACTGAAACTGAAAAATGGATGCACAAAAAATCATGTTTCCTATAATGTGATATAGAAACTTTTTGTCTATTGTTTCAACATTTCACTTTTCCCCTCTTTGTGTGTTTACACATCTGTACGTGTTTGTGCATGTGGTAAAAAAGTTTCTTGTTTAAAAGAAAAACATCTTTTTGAAACCAAAACAAAAAGAAACAAAAGCAAAACCCCAAATCAAATGATCTCCTGAAATCCATAATCCATATTTCAGTTTGTATACATTGGTTAGACAACATTTTTGTTGAGAGATAAAAGCAAAATGCTTGGTGCCAAGAGGAAATGATTGCTCTGAAAGGAAATGATAGATTGAATAGCTTTGGTTATATTTTACCTCTAAATACTTGGTTTAAAGCCATCTCTGTTATCCTTCTCAGAGTAAAGATATCCATTGAGATTGAAAATGTCATGAGGTCACTCAAGAAAAAGAATTAAGCCAATAGGGTAGGGTAGGGTAGGGTAGGGTAGGGTAGGGTAGGGTAGGGTAGAATAGAATAGAATAGAATAGAATAGAATAGAATAGAATAGAATAGAATTCCTTATTGGCCAAGTGTGATTGGACACACAAGGAATTTGTCTTGGTGCATACGGTCTCAGTGTACATAAAAGAAAAGATACATTCATTAAGAATCATAAGGTGCAACATTTAATGGTAGTCATAGGGAACAAATAAGCAATCAAATCATATTAGGAAACAGTCAATATAAATCGTAAGGATACCAGCAACAAAATTACAGTCATACAGTCATAAGTGGGAGGAGATGGGTGATAGGAACGATGAGAAGATTAATAGTAATGCAGACTTAATAACTAGTTTGACAGTATTGAGGGAATTATTTGTTTAGCAGAGTGATGGCATTTGGGAAAAAACTGTTCTTGTGTCTAGTTGTTCTGGTGCGCAGTGCTCTATAGCGTCGTTTTGAGGGTAGGAGTTGAAACAGGTCATGTCCAGGATGCAAGGGGTCTGTAAATATTTTCACAGCCCTCTTTTTGACAATCTCTTTATAGTTCTATGGGGTCATAAAAGCAAATGTTTTCTTCAACCAAGACAATAATTTATAGACATCCAGGTCCAGTGAGGCGGATCAAACTATCCTTATAGAAAATATAAAAAATCTTAAATAATTATTTAAAAAGTATTAAAATTGTTTAATGATGATGACGATAATGATAATAGTAATAGTAGTAGTAGTAGTAGTAGTAATAATAATAATAATAATAATAATAATAATAATAATAATAATAATGTCATCATTTGATTAAGTAATGAATTTCCCAAATCTTACCCTATATTCACTTGCCTAGAAGAAGGTTACAATTAATTTAATGGCACTTATTTTTAGGAAAGGCTAGTCCTATTATTAGGTTGATTTAATTAATTGTTTCAGACAACTCAATTTAACAATCAATAACAGCTGAACAGCTAAATAACAATAAGAATAAATACTTTGTGGCCAGATATGTCCTATATATTTTGTGCCAACTGAATCTTCCTTTGAAGCTGGTGACAAAGTAGGATCATAAAATATATAGAAATATGTGGGGAAAACATCAATTTATACTCTTATCTCTTGGGATGGCTCTGTCTTTAACTATGCATGCATAAATATTGTACTATGAGATATATCTGATTGAATTTTAGCCCTAGTTAATATAGGTCCATCTGGCAATATTCTAAAACAGAGTTTCAAGCTGGCTGAATGATAATTACATGAAAGCAAATCCATTTAAATATATTGTACATATTAAGTAAGTATAGCACCCAGGACAAATTAGTGAATTAGATCTTTTTTTTTTCCTGTAGTGAATCATGTTTTATGTCCACAGCGCTGCTGTATTCAGAACTTGCTACCCAATGGGAGCCAGCTAGCAGGACAAAAAGCAAAACATTCACTGACAATTAAGTAGAGTATTTTGATATTCCTGTTTAAAAGGTTGTAAATAACACTAGCTAAATATACATACTTAGATCCTTAGAGGCAAACAAAATGTAATGCTACCTAAATCTATAGAGGAGTTTCTGCCGACTACTGACTACATTATTGACCTCCGCATGACTTCCTTGTAGCCTTTACCTTTAAGTTATTTTCTTGTTGTTTTCTCATTCTTTAACACTATTGAATATTTATCCTGGAACGTATTTCTGAAAGAAAAATGTAACTCACTGAATCAACGTGTGTACCAAAAAGAATTTTAATTTTACATTAATGCTTTGCTGAAATCATGAAAATAAAATACACATTTTCTTCTGCATTTTTCAAGTATAGTTCATGTCCCTCTTTGGCTGCTGAATTGTTCTGCAGCATTTGATATTTATATATATATATATATAAAAAACCAGTCAAGTCTTGATGTTCATTCTGAAAGTTAAGACCGCAGCTGTGCTACATTTCACATTCACTTACGTCTCTCAAGAGGATATCCCTTGTCTCAAATTGGGTCTCTAATGAGCTACTTTATTTTTCTCCCTGCTGTTCCATTTCCAATTATTAGTAATTGTGGCATTGAAACTCTTCCCAATTGACAAATAATGCTCTGGAATCAGACCTGTGGGAGCTTTTAGTTATCGAGAGGTTTTTGGTTATCCAAATGAATAGTTGAATGACATGCAGTACTATAGTCCCATATACTTCTCCAATTTTAAAATCCTAATTGTTAGGAAATGAAAAAGAATTTAACTCCTTGCATCATGGTATACCCATATATAACCATATGCTTTACCAATAACTTAGGCAGTATTGCAGGCTAATTCAGCTCACTGCCAGGAGTTTGATCTTTATTTATTTTATTTATTTTGTCAAGCACCAATTAGATAATATATATAAGCATAAACATAAGCTGAATACATGAAATGAATACAAATAAAGGGAACATTAGGACAGGGACGGTAGGCATGCTGGTGCGCTTATGCACGCCCCTTATCTTCACCAATTCAAGGTTGACTCAACCTTCCATCCTTCCAAGGTTGGTAAAATGAGGAACCTGATTGTTGGGAGCAATATACTGACTCTGTAAACCACTTAGAGAGGGGTGTAAAGCACTATGAAGTCAGTGATGGGTTGCTACTGGTTCACCCTGGATCAGGCGAACTGGTAGCGGCAGCGGCGGGAGGCTCCGCCCACCCACCCGGACACTTCTGCACATGCGCAGAAGCATCATGCGCACGAGCGAACTGGTAGCAAACTAAATTGAAACCCACTACTGTATGAAGTAGTATATAAATCTAAGTGCTATTGCTATTGCTTCTGAGCATGGCCATAATTTAAAAGCATTTATTCATAAAATTTAAAAAGGAATGTTTTTAGAAACATAGAAACTGAATGTGCTTTGCATAAGAGCTTCCTAACTTATATAACACAAAAAGTAAACCAGAGCACATATATACCATATAAACTTATATTGACAGACACTTTTTAATGTACTAATTAAAGGTGAAGAGGAGGAGGAGGAGTTTAAGATCCTTTGGCAAACAAAAGTAGTTATAGAATTTGAAAGTCAACAAGAAACATATTTACTTAAACATATTCATTCACTCAATATTTTACCATTTTGTTAATGAGGACATCATGACAGACTATTGAATGCTAACTAACAATTTAATGGAGTCATTACTGACTGGCCTGCTACATTCGGTATATTTATAAACAGTTCAACCTCAGACTGGAATATAGTATCACATGGAGTATCAGAGAACTCTGTTCAGGACCTTCTGCTAGTCAATATTTTTATTAATACCCTGTTTCCCCGAAAATAAGACCTCCCCAGATAATAAGCCCAATCGGGCTGTTGAGTGCATGCGCTAAAATAAGCCATCCCCAAAAATAAGCCTTCCCTGAAAATAAGCCCTCCCCAAAAATATTTAAGCACATGCACAGCCAGTCCCCGCCATTTCCTCGGGTTAGGGTTAGGGAGACAGAGGTGGAAATCAGGTAAGACAGCAAGAGGAGCCCCGTCTTGCTCCATGTACCCCAAAATAATAAGACCTCCCCCAAAAATAAGGCCAAGCACTTATTTTGGGGTTCAAAAAAATATAAAACGGTCTTATTTTCGGGGAAACATGGTAACTGAATAAAGGGGTTGAGAAATGAATTATCAGATTTTCAGAGGAAACCAGACTAGGAAGAATGGTTAACACTTTGAAAGAGAAAGATACATGCAATGGAATAGTAGGCTGCAACCCATAGGATAAAATGTAGAAGCTTGCATCTGATAAGAAAAAAGAAAGCCAATACTGTAGGATTTGGGATTGGGGAAGGGAACCTAGTTTAGCAGTAATACATGTGAAATGGATCAGGATAGCTTGAGAGATCATAACTTGAGCCAACAACATGATACATTTGCTAAAATGACAAAAAGAACAGAGACAAAACCATGGGAGCTAGCTGCTTTATTCTCTCACTTTTAATATTGTACAATGTACAGTTTTGGGCACTGCAATCTAATGACACCAACAAACTGAAGCAAGTTCAGAGGATGACAATATAATAATGGGAATGAAATTCTGTGAGTACTTTAGAGACTACTCTAAAGTAAAATGACATAACATTGGTATGTTCAGTTTTCAGAAGAAGGAACGGACCTGATTCCTGTTCTTTGGAGGGCAAAGCACTGGGTTGAACCTACAAAGAAGATTCATTTTAAATATTATGAGAAATTTCCTGATGAAAAGAGCTGTCAATCAATAGAATAGCTTGGCTAGAAATTGTTCTACCACTTCATTGGAGCTCTACAGAGACTGGGTAGTCCTCTGAAGGTGGTCCAAAATGCTTTCACCAAAAGGGAAGTAGAATCATCTTGGATATAAAGTAGCAAGGTTTTCAAAAAACGTTGTCTAGAGTTGTCTGGAATAGGACAACCTATCAATTCTTTCAATCAAACAAACCAATAAACAAAAACAAACAAACAAACCAAGAACTAGGGCAGCCACGGGGAAGGCCTGTTTCTGGCTCCACCAGCATCTTTGTGTAAAACATTATTTCTTGGTTAAGGTGGCAGATCAAATTTCCCATAAATATTCTTAGTTTAACAACAACAGAATTAACATTCTAATAATCAGGATATGTAAATTAATAGCAGAAGGACACCTGGAATTATTTAATGCAATATGTGTGAAATTATGGAAAATTACTTTGGGTATTTTAAAAAATCAATTCTAAAATTCCTCTTCACTTAAACTGTCAACTGTATCATCTTTAAAGTGATTTACTTAAAATATAAAATTAATGAGTTAATTATGTTAATTAAAACTATCATCCTATACCCCATTCACCTGCTATTAAATCCCATTCAGCTCAACAGGGCTTCATAAACAATACAAGACTGTGTTATAAGATACTTCAGGCAGAGAAGTTACTTTACTTGCCTAGTAAATAATGTGGTAAAAAGCAATTCCAAGCAATATTTTAACACTGAAAAAGCATAATCATTTTTTAAAAAATATTAATGATAAAGAATTACTTTCCTTTACTGTATATCCAACTATTAGAGTTGTGGTGGTGCAGTGGTTAAAATGCAGTATTGCAGTCTACTTTTGCTGACTGCTGGCTGCTAGCAGTTCGGCAGTTCGATTCTCACCGGTTCAGGATTGACTCAGCCTTCCATCCTTCCAAGGTCGATAAAACGAGGACCCAGATTGTTTGAGGGCAATATGCTGACTCTGTAAAACACTTAAGAGAGGGCTGTAAAGCACTGTGAAGCAGTATATAAACAGAGGTGGGCTGCTACCGGTTTGCACTGGTTCTGCCGAACCGGATGTTAATTTTCTGAGCAGTTCAGAGAACCGGTTGCTGGAAGAAATCTTTTCCCACTTTACAGGGCTAATCCTGCAAGGGAGGTACGAAGGAAACATTCTGGTATGCCTGTATTTCTAGCCTAATCCTTATCAATTGCCCTGATGCTTTAAGTGTTTTCAGAAACTGCCTCTGGGTTAAGCTTGTTACATTGTAAGCCTTACACCCAGACTTTCTGTCTGTAGACTGAGCTTCTCTGGAGTTCCCCCACTCCCCCAGGAGTTTTTTGTGGTACTTTTATTCCTGATGCTCGACTTTCTTAAAGATTGTTAAAGGGTTGTTTTAAGCTTTTTGGAATATACTTCCAACACAGCTGGAACAGCTATTTACAGAAGGTTTGGCATAGCCATAGAAGAAATGGCTGAGAGGCAGGATGCAAGCTTGGCATTCTGTCTGATTTTTTTTACTGCCTTTCTGGAGGCATATGATCTTTCCTTAAATCTGGATGATTACCTAAGGATATCTTGTGAGGTGAGTGAGACCAGCTGGTATCTTTAAGTGGTGCAAATGGATCTAATGATTGCTTCTCCTGGGTGGGAAACTGTGCTTTGTCAGCTCACTGAACACACGAGTCCCTTGTCTATGGGGATTCTTCAGTCATCCAGGTCATGGTTGTCCCAAAGGTGCTTTTTTCAAGAGGCAACTGGACTTTCTTGGTTTCCAGAAAGTCCAGTTGCCTCTTGAAAAAGCACCTTTGGGTCAGGAGTCTCTTGCATTGCTTCGGAGTGGGCAAGGCACATGGTTGCTCACTGATAATAAGTGGATCCTCCTTCCAATTTGTTTTAGTTTTCTCTCATGATAATATGGCATAGTAACATGGCACCAATTGTAGACAGTTAGCACCCACCCCTCTCCTAGAAGAATGAAGTATTTTGAGAAATATGAAAAAGGAAGAATATATTTCCCTGAATGAGAAATGGAGAAATATGTTTTCTTAGAGGGAGAAAGCAGCTCCCACCTTCCTTAATAGCCCACAGAAGATGTCAGCACTTAAAAGATAAAAAGATAGATAGCTATATTCATAGGCAAAACTTCCCTGCAGCAAAATCTGAACAAAGGCAAAATGGGATTAGCCCTCACTCAAGATGTTAATTTGTTAATTTGTCTCTTTAGCTCGGCATTTTGTAACCCAAATATGCCCAACCATTTTCTGGAGAGCTTAAATGACCTCTTTGCTAAAGGGTTTCACTTTATGAGCAAGAATAACTTGGCTGTTGATAGTTATCCTTGTATTTTAACTATTTTAATTCCTCAATGTGCTCTGGCAACCTGCCTGATTTGTAAGTCCGGGTTGCAGGTATTGCTGAGGAAAAGGAAGTTATTCAGACAGAATGGTTTAGGTTTCCATGACAGTTGTGACTCATTGATCTTCAGTGTGTATTCCCCCATTTCTAATCTAATGACTGGTATTTTTTGCAAGCAAAGAAGCTTTTTGTATTTTTGTACAGGCAATCCTTGACTTACAACAGTTCATTTAGTGACCATTCAAAGTTACAAGGGAACGGGAAAAAGTGATTTATGACTGTTTTTCACACTTACGACCGTTGCAGCATCCCCACGGTCATGAGAGGGCGGGTGAGGCGAAGCGCCCCTCAAGGTAAGTGAAATTGAGTTGGCCACGCCCACCCAGCCAGTCATTAGGGCAGAGAAATGGTTGTTAAAAAAATTGCAGCCCACCACTGTTTATAAGTCTAAGTGCTATTGCTATTTTGTTTGGTACTGCTGAACAGCAGAAATTACCCTGCTTAACTTAACATCTAACATTGAACTTATCAACTTCAAAAGGAAAACTAGTAACGCTTCATAAAGAAAAACTGCCTCATGCATTAGAAGTTCCATTCAAAATGCATGCTTATTGCTTAAGTGCTGTAAGACGTAATGGTAACCAGTCATGGTACAGCAAATAAGCATATGTCGAATAAATTTAGTAAAATTCAATGATTTATTTGAAAGTTTAAACTCGGTTCATAGGAAACCATTTATGTAGATAGCTAAACCATTTAGGTTTTATGATTAAAGTTGTTTTTAATATTTGCCTAGATATTTATAGTATTATACAAAGTTATATATTCAATATTTAAACTAAGCTTTTAATAGAAAAGGCATAGCTGAAAAATTTAGAGTATATAATCCCTAAAGTTGGGAAAAGGTAATATATAAGCTCCATAGAAAACATTTATAACAAATTATTGAATAAGGTGCATATTTTCACCTATAGCAGCTGGTATTTGAGATGGGTCAGGCCAACCCTGACCTATCTCAAAAAGATAAGCAGGGTCAGACCAATTTAGTGCTTGACTGAGCAATTTTCAGGAGTGTTGTTAGACACTGAAATTAGAAACAAAACAAAACTGGAAACAAGGAATGGTAAATAACATTATTGTTGCCATTATTATTGTACATGAATATCATCAGAAGTCAAGGTTGCTTTGTAAGAAGTCTAATACTTGTTTAGCTACCTTTCTTCAATACACTTGACAGCTGGAACAGAAATAAACATAGCCTATTCCATTTTACTTTGTTGGCATTTAAGCCTCTGAAATACGTGAGGTGAGATTCTCAGTATACGGATTAACAGAGTTTAATGAAATTGCCTTGAGATGAAAACAAGCCCTTGTTGGAAAGAATAAATAAACAAAGAAACTCTCCTGGGCAGGAATAAGAATCTCATCAAAAGAAATTGTAAATTGTGGTATCACATGAGATCTGAGCATGTCTGTGGTAAAAGAGACAAGAGTCTTGGCAAAGCAAAAAGCTTGTGTTATGAGGGATTCCCAATTCATTCTGTAACAACTACAAATTGAAAATTTATTGTCATGTTTGTTGCATTATTTTCCTTCTGTCTAGCTGAGATGAATACTTGAGGCTAATTCATACTTTAGTCATTCTTATGGAGGAACTGCAAATCCAGGCCCAGTAACATGGTGCTTAGGTGGTGAGGGGGGCAAGCAAATGAAACTATAGGCCATGGAACATGTTTAATGTCTCCTCCTCCTTATCTTTGCTGTTTTTAGCTGTAAGATAAATACAGCTTCCCTTCTGAAAACTGTTGCAAACCTAAACAAACTACTGCACTAAAAAGCCGTGGACTTGAAATAAAATGAAACGGTGATGATAGATAAGTTTATTCATTTTCCAATAATCTTTGTCTTACCTGAGATCACTCGCAATCTGGAAAACACTGGCTTAAAGATCTGGTTTTTAAAGTACATTTTTAAAAGAAAAAAAAAGATGTTTTTATGCAACAAATGAAAGTAGAGGTTTACAATACACTTATTTACTAGATACACAGGATCATCTAACAATAAGTTCAAGATTAATAGTTTTGTTTGTTCCTTTGTTTGTTTGCTCCTTCTCATCAGTGTTGACTCTTGGCAACTGCCTAAACAAGTCCCTGAAGTTTTTTTGGCAATATTTCAGAAGTGGTTTGCCATTGCCTATTTCTTAGGGCTAAGAAAGAGTGACTGGCCCAAGGTCAACCATCTGGCTTTTTATTTTTTATTTATTAAATTTGCTTGTGCTATGGTAGGACCAAGGGTGGGTTCTACTTACCTTTACTACTGGTTCACAACAGGGCCGTGGACGCGTGCTTACTTTGCTCGCGTGAGCGCTCTTCTGCATATGCGCAGAAGGGTTTTGATGATGTCAGGGTCAGTGGGTGGAGCACCCGCCAGTTTTACTACGAGTTCTATAGAACCAGTGCGAACCGGGGGCAACCCACCACTGGATAGGACTATAACTCACAATTTCCCAGGTTCCAGGCTGGGGCCTTAATCCCTACACCAAGCTGGCTCTTTTTTAATTAGCAGCAGCTAAAACATAAAAGACAATAGTTAACTATTTTAGAGTTATCCTGAGACATTTTGGTTTGCTAGGTTTGCTACCAATCCAATTATTTTCTGCAAGGAATAGGAATATATTTATTTATTTACTAGAAACCCAACTTTTCCACCAAAGCAGCAGAAATGAAAGGTTCAAACTTATGCAAGTCAGTGAGCAAAAAGGCGGGACTAAAAGATATGTCATTATTGACTGATCTGCATAATTTCAGTATCCAGCCGATTCTTTATGTCAATGCTACCCAATCATATCAATCTTTAGTATTATACAATGAGAAATTATTTGCTACCTTAACCCTCTGACATGAAGTGTTAACTGTATGACCAATTTCAGGGCAATGTGACTTCAGGAACAGCTGGATGTATTCCAAAGACAAAAACCTTAGTGCCTATGCTTACATTAAGGGAAGTCTCTTGCATATTATTTCCGTGGACTAACCTAACCAGTTGTTTCTGAGACGTTCACAAGATAGGTAATGTCAGCCAGCCACTCATCCTTATTTGTCCTCTGGCATGTGGCAATCACCGAAAGCACCACTTGACATTTCATTTGTGTTTGCAGTAGCTGATAGGCACTAATAGACTTCTCCACCTGCCCAGAATTTGCCTTCTTGGCTTTGACTGAATGTTTACATCCAACTCAGTTGTTGGCTCACTCTGAAATCCATATGGGGCAGAAGGGGAAACCACATGGCCCGACTGCTATCTGGTCCCATGCTTTCAAGCTTTAAGGAAAAGCAAACTAACTGAAGTGCATCTGGGCAGAACTATCCACTTATTTATTTTTATTTATTTTTGTCAAGAATATATAAGATTACAGATAAAAATATAAACATGATTATGAATACATGAAATGTAAACATTATGAATACATGAAATGGATATGAATAAAAAGGGACATTAGGACAGAGACGGTAGGCACGTTGGTGCGCTTATGCACGCCCCTTACAGACCTCTTAGGAATGGGGTGAGGTCATTTCCGGAGGTGGCCAGTGATTATTTTTCCAAAATGAAGCGAGCGGCTTGGGACTTGCAAGAATTCGGACATTCAACCAGAGGTGGGTTTCAGCAGGTTCTGACCAGTTCTGGAGAACCTGTAGCGGAAATTTTGAGTAGTTCAGAGAAGTGGTAGGAAAAATTCTGACTGGTCCCACCCCCGTCTATTCTCTGCCTCCCAAGTCCCAGCTGATCGGGAGGAAATGGGGATTTTGCAGTATCCTTCCCCTGGAGTAGTGTGGGAATGGAGATTTTACAGTATCCTTCCCCTGCCACACCCACCAAGCCCCACCCACAGAACCGGTAGTAAAAAATTTTGAAACCCACCACTGCATTCAACAGGCTTGATGTGGCCTAACAGAAATTGGCTAGTGGCCCAGTAGTTATAACGACTTATTGAAGAACAAGCCTGTGACTTTTCTTACATGGTTTTGGTGGGAGGACAGAACTGTGGAGGGAATGGATTTAAGGAAACACTGCCTTGAATCCTACGAGTGGAAGGGATCAGTGCTTGCTTACTACCGGCCACAAGTTGATTAATTGGGGTTTTGTTTTGTTTTTACTACTCCTTAGGAGAGGAGGAGCGCATGGGGTTGTTGAGAAACCCCACGCGGGATAGGAAAACAAGGCAACGCAGCGCACAGCCTCGCCAGCCAAAGAACCGAGGGCGTCGCAGTGCCCGGGGCCAGCATCCATGCCACGTGCCGATTTCCTCCCGCGCCCCGCCATCGACCAATTACTCACGCGAGAAAGCAGCCAATGACAAAGCGGCGGCCGTCAGCTGTAAACACCGTCCCTCCCGCCCTCACTTCGCACACTAGGCACGCACGCGCCGACCGTTCGCAGCTTCGGGGAGCGCCGCTCCCGAACTCGCAACAAGTCGCCGCACAAGTGCAAAAAAAAAACAAAAAAAAACCCAAAAAACCACCAACCCCAACAACGGAGGAAAGGCATCTCGCAAAAAAAAAAAAAAAAAAAATATGGGAAGTGGGGCGCGCGTTTTTTTTTTTTTTTTTAAAAAAAACCCTTTCCCACCCCACCCCCACCCTTCTCTCTCTCTCTCTCTCTCTCTCTCCTTCCCCTGATACTCATTTCTGGGTGCTTCAGCTGAGCTCGAGACTCCCTTGCATAGAGGAGTGTTTCCTTTTTTTCTTTTTCTTTTTGGAAAGACGGAGAGGGGGCGAAAAGCGCGAGGGACAAAACTAGCGACCCCCTCAAGAAAGTTTTAAGGATTTATTTATTTATTTAATTTTTTTTTTTTTTGAAAGTTTTAATCGGCCGCGCCGATGTGTAAAATTTTTCTTCTTATTTCCCCACTTCGTCCCGTTGTAACTTTGTTGCGTGAAGGAAGACGGGGAGCGAGAGAAAGTATATAACTTTGGAGAGGGCTGGTGCTCCTCTTACCAAGAAAAATAAATAAATAAATGAAGAGTCTGGATCTTCGTCTTGGAGCCGGGGAGTGAATAATAAAACATAATACAGAAAGGAAGCAGGAGCAGCAGCGTGTAAGAATCGAGCGAAGGACTCCTGGCCAGGGGAAAGAAAGAAAGAAAAAAAGAAAAGAAAAAGAAAAGGTGGGTACGATAATTTCCCTTACCTTTTATTTTTCTCTTTCGTTTCTCTCTCTCCAGTTTCCCCCAACCCTCGTTTCTTTTGGCGGCGACGAAAACCGGTAGGGGGAAAACGCGTCTCTTGGTCCCTTGGCTTTAACCTCGCTTTCCTTTAAGGGAACAACCACCGCGCGCGGAGAGGGGTGGGGGGGGGAGAGAGAGAGAGAAAAGGGGACACGAAAGGTTGGCGACCGAAACAAGAAAAGCCGCTGACCAAAGCGGCGGCCTCGGCTAGAAACCGAGAGAACCTGACTTCTGTGCCCGGCGAGCGGCTCTCTCCCCCCCCCACCCCACAAGCCCATTTTTGTCCTTCGCGTCCCGGGACCTGGGCGTAGAGGGCGCGCGCGTGTTTGGGTCTCGGGGGTTGGGGGAAGAAAAACAAAACAAAACCCACGCGAACTTTTCCTCAGAGGGGCGGTTCTGCTTGGGAGTGGGGGGTGTTGTCGCGGGCTCGAAGGGCGTTCGAGTTGCCGCCCCGGTGCCTTTC